TCATATGTTTCACAAAATTAACTCAAAATGGATCTTACACATAAATGCAAAAGGCAAAATTATAAAACTTCCAGAAGAAAATAAGAAAAAAAGTAAGGTACCTTGGGTTTGGCGATGAGTTTTTTAGATACAACACCAAAGCACAATACATGAAAGAAATAACTGGTTAACTGGACATCATTAAAATTAAAATCTGCTCTGCAAAAGACACTTAAAAGAATGAAAAGATAAGCCACAGCCTGGGAGGAAAATATTTGCACAATGCTTCTCTGATAAAGAACTCGTGTCTAAAATATACAAAGAATTCTTAAAACTCAAAAATAAGAAAACAAACAACCCCATATAAGAATGTGCAAAAGCTCTGAGCAGAAATTTTACTAAAGAAGATACACAGATGGCAAATAAGCATATGAAAAGATGCTCAATATCATATATTGTTAGAGAACTGCAAATTAAAACAACAGTGATACAACTACACACCTACTGGAGTGGCTAAAATCCAAAAAGGAACACCACCAAATGCTGATGAGGCTGTGGAGCAATGGGAACTCTCATTCACTGCTGGTGGGAACGCAAAATGATACAACTACTTTGGAAGACAGTTTGGCAGTTTCCTATAAAACTAAACATAATCCTACCATATGATCCAGCAATCATGTTCCTAAGTATTTACTCAAATGAGCTGAAAACTTACATCTACACAAAAACCTACACAAGAACGTTTACAGAAGCTTTGTTCATATTTGCAAAAACTTGCGCACAACCACCAAGATGTCCTTCTGTAGGTGGATGGGTAAACAAGCTGTAGTACATCCAGACAATGGAACATTATTCAGTGATAAAAAAAAATGAGCTATCAAGCCATGAAAAGACATGGAGGAAATTTACAAGATACAAGATCAGCTTACAAAAATTACTGCTATTTCTCTATATCAGAAATAATCACACTGGAATTTGACACAACACTGTAAAATGATTATGAATCAATAAAAAATGTAAAAAAAAAAGAAATAATCAACTAGGAAATAGAACAGAAATAAAATATTGTTCTCAAAAGCAACAAAAACAATAAAGTAGTTGTAATGAACATAACTCAGAATAATCCAGAAGACTTTAAGGGAAAAAACTTTAAACTCTATTGAAAACCATGAGCAATCTGAATAAGTAGCAATGCATCCCTGTTCACAAGTGAGACAATAAAAATTGTAAAAAATATCAATATTACCCCAAATTCACCTCTAAAATCAACACAATTCCATTCAAAACTGCAGCCAGATTCTTTGTGGAGCTAAATAAATGTATTCCAAAATTTATCTAAAAGGATAAAGATTCACAACTAGCTTAGTCACACTTGAAAAAGAAGAACGCAGGTGGAAGAGTTACTCTTCTAGATATTAAAACATACTTCAAAGCTATAAACATAAAACAGTGTGGTACTATTACAGGAACAGATACGTGAACCAAGGGAACAGAACAGAGAGCAGAGAGCAGACACTTACATGTATATCTGGGAATTTGAAATAAGACAAAGGTGGCACCACAAATCAGTAGAGGAACAATGAACTGTTAGGTCTGAGAAAACAAGCTCAGTACAAAAAGAAAGAAGTGAAACTGGTTACCAAATTTATACCCAATACAAAGGTGACTTCAGATAGATTTAAATCCTTAAGTGTGAAATAAAAGAACACAGTTAATAGAGAAAAATAAGAAAATCACTGTGATTCAGCGATGACAAAGGATTTGTTAAACAAGTCCCAAATAACAAACACAAACCATAAGGCAAAACATTGATGTTTGACTGTATTAAATCTAGAAAAAAGTGACAGACACATGACAAATTTGGAAGGACAGACTTGTAAAGCCTCAAACGAACATCCAGAACCTTGCTACTCACAGGGTGGTTCAGGACCACAGGCTTCTGCATCATCTGGGAGCTTATTACAAACGCACGGTCTTGAGCCCCATCCCACCCTTATTAAATCATAATCTGCATCCTAACATGGTTCATGTGCAGATTAAAATTTGAGAACCACAGGTTATACAAGGAACTTTCGCAAATTAGTAGAAAGAGACAGGAAGTCTCACAGAAAACTACCTGAAGGGCTTAAATTGCAGTGCAATGAGCTGGAAACCTGAATAGCTAGCAAATATATACAGAGATGCTTAAATTAATAAGAAACCAAGGAAATACAAATTAAAATAACAATAAAATGCCACTTTATGCCTATTAACTTGCCAAAAATCAGAAAGTTGGACAAATGCTACATTTCAACAGGGTGGCAAATAAACAAGAATTCTCATGCACTGCTGAGAAGGGCATAAACAGGGCAAGTCATTCTGGAGAGCAGCCGGCAGTCAAATGAGGGATGCGTACATCCTATGACCCCCCAACCCGAGTCCTGGGAAGATACCCTCAAAGCGACATTTGCACAAGTCCCGAGGGTTATCTATGAGACTGTTCATTGTAGTACCGATTATGGCGGCAGGCAATCAAGTCAACTTTGAGGTTTATCATTAGGGAATGGATCTGTAAACCATGGTAGATGCACATCATGGACACTATGCAGTGGTGGGAAGTAATGAACTGGATACAAGACCAGCAATGCAGGTGGATCTTAGAAAAGCAGCACTGTGTGCAAAACGTAAAAAACAGAATACGATCTACAGCACATTTATGTCACTTGAAAATAAAGTAGCACACAAAATGATTCTGCGTGTCTTACAAGGAAATATAAATCCAACGATATGTACCGAACACATGATAGAGACTGACTCAGAAAACGAAAGTAGAGACAGCCATAAACATACAGGCGTAAAAGCCAGAGACGGGCCTCGTGCCAACAGCCAGGAAGATGTGCTTCGAAACGAGGATTACGATTAACCAACCCTTTCCACTTGGAATCCTTCCCCAAAAGCATAAGAAAAATAAATAAATAAAAATAAGCCA